CAGCAAAGTCATGTACATACCTTACGGCCAGCTACGTGGTGTACTTACTAAACAGCCAGCTACTGACAGCCAGTGGTTATTTGCCGTTTTCTTACCTGACGGCCAGTGGTTAGTCATTGTGTACTTACCTGACAGCTAGTGGTTGTTCACTGCGGTCTTACCTGACAGCCAGTGGCTGTTCATTGTGGACTCACCTGATGGCCAGTGACTGCTCGCCGTGGACTCAACTCACAGCCAGTTATTACCTGACGGCAAACTACGCCGTGGATTTACCTAAGTCAAGTCAAGAATCTTTATTGTCATTATGCATAGCACAACAAACATTTTTCCAGCAGCTCTCGGCTTAAAAGACAGAGATATTATTTACATAACACACACTTGTATAAGTCAATATACAAATATGAACAAATAAAAAGGGATGTATGGGACCTAATCAGGTCAGCAGCATGTTAGCAGCAAGCGTGTAGTAACATTATAAGGTGCAGCTCAGTGCAAATCTCAGTCTTTAGGAAGAGGTGTGAGGTCCAGTGTTCTGTGTCTGTCCAAGGGAGGTTGTGTGTGTGACTAGGGGTTAGGGGGGTGATTGATTTCACAGCTCTGGGGAAGAAGCTGTGTCTCAGTCTGTTTGTTTTAGCCTTTATATTCCTGTACGTTTTTCTGGAGGGAAGAGGCACAAACAGACTGTTGCCTGGGTGGGTGGGGTCTGCAGCAATCCGTCCAGCCTCCCTCTGGATCCCGTCCGATCAGTGTATAGTGAGTCGAGATCCAGAAGAGGACTCCTTATAATGCCCTGAGCTGTTCTCACCACCCGGGTCAAGTCCTTTCTGTCCTGTGCAGTGCGGCTTCCGTACCACACTGTCACACTGAGACAGAGGATACTCTCTACTGTCGCTCTGTAGACGTTTGCAAGCAACTGAGAGGACAGACCAGTATGTTTCAGCTTCCTGAGGAAGAAAAACCTTTGCTGGGCTTTCTTCACCAGGTCAGATGTGATGTGGATGCCCAGGAACTTGATGTTATCCACTTGCTCCACCACCTCCCCGTGTATGAGAAGAGGAGCATACATTGTCTTCCTGGACCTCCTTTAATCCATAATGACTTCCCTAGTCTTGTTGGTGTTCAGGACAAGATTGTTATCTGAACACCATCTTGTCAGGTGCTGGATCTCCTCTCTGTAGTGAGTCTCATTATTGTCTGAGATGACGGTCGTGTCGTCTGTGAACTTCACTACTGTGTTTGTGGGGTGAATGGCATCACAGTCGTGGGTAAACAGAGTGAAGAGAACTGGGCTGAGCACACAGCCCTGTGGTGTGCCTGTGTTCAGGACCAGTGTGGATGAAGTGCAGCTTCCAATTCTCACCACTTGAGGCCTGTTAGTGAGGAAGTCCTTAATCCATGACACATCATTGCAGGCAGTCCCAGATTGAGCAGTTTCAGTGCCAGTTTGTCTGGGATTACAGTATTAAATGCCGAACTGAAGTCAGCAAATAGCATCCTGACATAAGTGTTAGGATGCTCCAGGTGGGACAGGGCTGTGTGTAATACTATTGAGACAGCATCCTCTGTTGATTGGTTCTCTCTGTAGGCGAACTGATGGCTGTCCAGACCAACAGGGATGACATCCTTGATGTGCTTTAGAATGATCCTCTCAAAGCACTTCATAATTACTGGTGTCAGAGCAACAGGGCGGTAATCATTGAGGCAGGTGACAGCTGATTTCTTGGGCACAGGCACAATGATGGAGGACTTGAGGCACACAGGGACTGAAGCAAGATGCAGGGACAGGTTAAAAATGTCCAAGAAAACTCCTACCTGTTGGTCAGCACATAGCTTCAAAACCCAACCTGACACCCTGTGTGGTCCTGCAGCTTTGTTGGTGTTGATCCTCCTCAGGGTGGAGCTCACCTGGTGTAGCTGTAGGACGAGAGGCTGGTGCTGTTCCTCGAGCTGAGGGAGTTGTACAGTTCCTCTGCTGCCAGGTGTATCGAAGCATGCAAAGAAACTATTCAGAGTGTCAGGGAGGGTGGGATCATGGCTGACCTGCTGGTTGTTGCCTCTGTAGTCTGTTATTGTTTTGATACATCTCCACATACTCTGTGTGTTGTTATTCATGAAGTGCCCCTCAATGCGCTGTTTGTACCTGCGTTTGGCCAGCCAGATGCCCTTCTTTAGTTCTTTCCGGGCCCTGCTATAGGCCAGCCTGTCACCTGATCTGAAGGCAGCGTCCTGAGCTTTGAGCAGAGTTGACACTGTACTGTCCAACCATGGTTTCTGGTTTGGAAAAACCCTGATGGACTTTGTAGGTAGACAAGCATCAGTACAGAACTGCACATAGTCCAGAACAGCTGATGTATAAGCCTCCAAAGTCTGAGCCCTCTTTGAACACCCCCCAATCAGTATGCTCAAAATAGTCCTGTAATGCTGAAGAAGCCTCCTCCATCCACACCTTAACTGTTTTGGTGATTGGTTTTGTGCTGCAGATCATAGGTTTATATGCTGGGATCAGCTCCACAGAGATGTGATCTGACATGCCCAGGTGTGGAGCTGCTATGGCCTTGTATGCTCCC